TGAAGTCGTTACTTCGCCCGCCGTTGAGTCCTTGCTTTGTCGGGCTGAAGTCGTTACTTCGCCCGCCGTTGAGTCCTTGCTCCGGCTGGGCCGACGTTTCCACCCGGTCCGGCGACGAGCCCCTGCTCTGCCGGGCTAACGTCGTTATTTCGCCCGCCGTTGAGCCTTTACTCCGGCTGGGCCGACATTTCCACCCGGTCCGGCGGCGAGCCCCTGCTCTGCCGGGCTGACGTCGTTATTTCGCTCGCCGTTGAGCCCTTGCTCCGGCTGGGCCGACATTTCCACCCGGTCCGGCGACGAGACCCTGCTCTGTCGGGCTGACGCCCTTACTTCGCCCACAGTTGAGCCCATGCTCCGGCGAGGCCGATGTCCCCATCCAGTCCGGCGACGAGCCCCTGCTCTGCCGGACTGACGTTGCTACTTTGCCCGCCGTTGAGCCCTTGCTCCGGCCAGGTCTACGTTTTCATCTAGTTCGGCGTCGAGCCCCTGCTCTGCCGGGCTGACGTCGTTATTTTGTCTGCCGTTGAGCCCTCGCTCCGACCAGTCCGACGTTTCCATCCAGTCCGGCGACGAGCCGCAGCTCTGCCTGACTGACATCGTTATTTCGCCCGCCGTTGAGCCCTCGCTCCGGCCAAGCCGACGTCTCCGTCCAGTCCGACGACGTGCCCCTACTCTGCCGGGCTGACGCCGTTACTTTGCCCGCCGTTGAGCCCTTGCTCCGGCCGGACTGACGTTTCCATCCAGTCCGGCGACGTGCCCCTGCTCTGCCGGGCTGACGTCACTACCTCCCTTTCCGTTGAGCCCTTGCTCTGGCCGGGACGACGCAATTATTTCTCCCCGGCTCGCTTCGAGCACCGTGGTGGAGAGCGTCGAGTACGTCCAGGTTGGGCACAGGGAGTAACCGCCCATGGCCGGCACCTCCGCTCTGTGTGCCAGGCAGACCGCCGACAATACTGACCCGACCTGGGGGGAGCCGATCTGGTCGTATCTCGGGTCCGGGGCGTTGCCACCTGACCCAGAAGAGGCCAGGCAGCTTCGCGTACGGGTCGATTTATGATCAGAGCTAGGCCACTCGTATCTTGTGGCCGGGGGGTTGTCATCTGACCCAAAAGAGGCCAGACGGCTTCGTACCCGTGTTGCTCGATTTACGATCGTGGTTGACGAACGGCTCAAACGAGGGTGCTCGACACCCTTATTCTTATTAAAGTGTATAAGTGAGAAAGACGTCGAGTTCGTCTGAAGGAAATGAGCCCGCCGACGAGCCCCTGCTCTACCGGGCCAACGTTATCACTTCTACCGTCGCCAGACCTACGCTTCACCAGGTCGACACCTACATCTCGCCCGCCGACGAGCCCTGCTCTATCGGGCCAACATTACCACTTCTACTACCGCCAAACCTGCTCTTCGGCCAGGTCAACACCTACATCTTGCCCACCGACGAACCACTGCTCTGTCGGGCCAACGTAATTATTACTCCCACTGCCGTCTTGCCTTCGCTTCGGCCAAATTAATATCTTTATCTCTCCCGCCGACGAGCCCCAGGTCCACCAGGACTGTCGACACTTCGCCAGCGCAACGAGTCCCTGAGAGCAAGCCTCAACTTCGCAGACGAGCACCATGAGCCGAGCTAATAAACACCGCGCGTAACAGACGAAATGTGAGATACGTCAAATCCCAAGTCAAACCACTCTCATATCAAGTCAACGACGTCCTCCTACACGGGGCCTACCGACTTGAACACCTGGGCGGCACGCGCCCATCAATACCCATAAAACTCGGCGTTTCTGAAGAAGTCCTACCAATAGGTCTAGGCTATTCTCACTCAGTGAGTGACGTTATTGTATAGATTATTCGATGAGCTAGGTCAAGAATGTAATTTACCTTTCGCTTTTAGAGGCTAGGTCGTTTAGGCTTAGATCGAGTCGAAGCGGCGTAATTAACGTAAGAAACCAAGTGCGGGTCGGGATCAGTACGATGACCCAGCCGACACTAGCCGGGCTCAACTAGGAAGCCCGGTCAGGCCAATAATACCACCGAGTCCGAACGCGAGACCGGTCAGGTAAGCTGCCACGTAACTATGTGCATGTCAGGTCAGTACGATGGCCTGGCCGGCACGAGCCGGGCTCAGCAAAGTAGCCCGATAAGGCCAAAGTCGCCAATGAAAGAAATGAATAACGAGCTCAAACGTGAAGCTCAGCAAGGACAGACCGTCGCCCGATTCAACGAGCAAGTCGGACAGGTAACGCGCCAAAGTAATAAATAAATGCCGAGCCCAATCACGAGGCTCGACCAAGTAATAAATTCGTGCAGGTCGGAATCAGTACGATGACCCGCCCGGCACCAGCCGGACTCAACTAGGAAGCCCGATCAGGCCGAAATGCCTTAAAACTAAAGGCCAACGAGCCATGAGACCGAAATGCCGTAAAACTAAAGGCCTATAGTTTTTATTTTGATTTATTTCTATAATGAAATTCTTGTAAAATATATTTTCATTACATAGTATGTTAAATAAACAAGAAATCCTTATAATGCAAATTAGAAAAATCTTGACTATAGAAGGGCTTGAGTTTTTTATATTTGTCAAATCAAAGTTGTTTAATCAGTATACAAAATTAAATTCTAAAGAAACACGTGTGTATATTTGTAAAATATTTATACACTATTTAATTTTAAATTTATTTACATATTTTAAATTGAATACATAAATAAATAATATTGATATCCATTAAATATTTTTTATTACGTAAAATAAAAAGAAAAAGAAAATGTACAACTTATATAACTTTTATAAATAATAATGATATTATATAACAACAAAGTTAATAATAAAATAATAATTAAGTATTAGATGGTGAACAAAAATAAGTAAAAACTGTTATTTTCTCTTATATCAAGAAATAAATATATATACTAAAATCAAATTTATATAAGTATAAATGTGTTAGTGAGATAATATATTAATTATTTTATAAGCTAGCTCTAACATGCTCATATTTAATGTTCTAACTAAAAAACAACACTGATTAAAATAGGTGAAAAATAAATTATAACCCTGTTGTTTTTTAAACTTAAACGGACAGAGCCTGTGAAAATAACTCATTTAATATATTTATCTCGTGCATCGCACGGGGTACGTACTAGTGATAGAGAAAAAGATGAAATATTCACACTACATGAATGAGAGAAGGTCATCATTCCAAAATCCCCTACACACTCTCTGTCTCTCTCACTCTCTCAAATAATTATACATAAACAAACACAAGTCAATATTGTGTGAACAACATCGACAAGGAAGGAATCTGATTCCTCATAAAGTCCACAATGTCGGAGGCGGTGGGCCTAACCTCAGGCGAGGCGGAGACGCACCTACTTGCGAGCCCCACCATCTTTGTTGCCTCCTCCAAGTCGACCCCCCCTCGTCGGTCCACCATAATTTGCCCGCCAATTAGCCGCTTGCCGCTGACTGGGTTGACTGCTTCCATCCCCGTCACCAGCTCCAAAACTACTACACCATAAGCGTATACGTCGTTCTTCTTGGAGACAAGGCCGGTGGTGAGGTAAGCAGGGTCCGCGTAGCCTGGGGAGCCCGTAATGAACCTGTTCCTGTTCTTGTTGCTTTGGAAGTTGGAGGACCCAAAGTCGCAGAGCTTGCAGTTGAGAGAGGAGTCGAGAAGAATGTTGGAGGGCTTGATGTCACCATGGACGATGTGGGGCTCATCGTGGATGTAAGAGATGGCTAGGGCAACCTGGTATGCAATGGCCATGCGACGCTCCCATGGGAGAGGGACGTTGTTGGGCCCCAGCTTCTCTTGCAAGTTGCCATTGGGGACATATTCCAGTATTAACACTCCTTCGTCTGCAATAATAATAATTAATAATATTCATTCATTCCTCCTCCTTTGTAATAAATATATATACATATACATATATATATATACATATACATATATATATATATATATATATATTCATTCATTTAGGAAAATACTACAGTCCTGTTATGGTTGACAGGACTGATTCCGTGAAGGTTTTTAGCCTTTAGAAATACATGGATTATCAATAATAACTAACTTACATGTATATCTAAAGGCGAAAAACCCTAACAGAATCTGAGAGGACTGTAGTCTTCTCCTCATTTATAATTAGAACCATTAAACATGCATGTTTATGTACCTCCATCTTGATAGTGGCCCAGTAGCTTGACAATGTTTGGATGGTTGAGGAGACGCAAGGCCTCCAACTCCTGCTTGTACACCTCTTCATACACCCGCTGGCTGCTTACGTATCTTTTCACGGCCACCCTCGACGAATCAGGGAATCGACCAACATAAACCCTGCTGAATCCACCATACCCGATTACTCCACCAACATCCACGCTCATCAGTTTCTTCTTATCGTAATAATCTTCCTCACAATCGACGGCTGCGATCGACCCTCTTTTTCGCTTAAATATGTGTCGTCTCAGGAATTTCATCACGCCCATCGATATATTATCCACCGCTTTGATTGATGGATATATTTTTCTTTCGAACTATAGTTTTTGCAATTCAGGTAGGTGGAAATAGCTAGAATACGTATGTGGCTGGCTTATTATATACTATATGTATTAATCATTCATGAGTTGGAGTGGGACCTTTAGTAACCACGAAAATGGGGAGGAAGGAAGCTGTATGTACAAACATCAGCTACATGGAAGCACGAAATATAATTATTAACTAACCAAATAATATATAAGTATATAAAAGAAATATATATGAGTGAGATTACCTCAATTATATTACTAAACATTACTTTCTAGTATATTATATTACCTCATAAAGTAGAATTGAATGACTGCGTACATGGAAAATAAAATATTACCATTACATTTGCCAAACAATATTATTTACAAAAATGATATACAGAATGAAATACTAAATGAACAACTTAAATTATTTCATAAAACAAAACTTTGTTATGGTAACATAGTATTAACAATATATTGTAGTAAATTGTGTCCGACGGTCTGACAGAAAGCATAATGATAGCACGACAAAGACTGTTTGAGTGCCATTGAATAATAAGAAAATGAAATAGTGTTAATGGAGTTGAAAAACGTGCAAATTGGGAAAAGATTTAAAGGCACCGCTAAAGAAAGTGACTAGGAGGTACCATGTGTGGTGTGGTGTGGTGTGGATGAACTCATCAAAGTCAGACTGTGGCGGTCCCCACAGACAAACGGGTGGCTTCTTAACACACTCGTCACTCCAAGCGTGTAACTACCCAACATCTTTGATACTTATCTTTTTTTAAATTGTTGTTGTTGTTATTATTGTTATTATTATTTAGAATAAAATACTTATTTTAATATGATTAATGTTGGAAGGTGAGGTCTATTTCGCCGTGCGTAGGACGGAATTGTTATATAT